TTTTTAAAGGGGAAGAGGAAGAACTAAGAGGCTTGCTTCTGAATCCACACCTCAGGCAGCTACTGCTGACAGTCGATCAAGCGTCAGACAAAAGCTCCCTCATGAAAAAGTACATGCAGGAGCCGTTATTTGTGGAGTTTGCAGACTGCTGTTTGAGAATTGTTGAACCTCCAGAGAAGGAGAACGTTCTGCCCGAGTGAGCTACTTTGGGAACATTTTTCTTTCCTGGAGATTTTTTTCCCTCTGATAGAAGAGAACTGACAGCAGCCGTGCTGCTGTGGTGCACCATTCTGGGTGCTTCCTCAAGGTTTGGTCATGCTTTGCTCATGGATGTCAGTGCTCTGATTTTCAATTTAGAGTTGATAAGCAGTGACACAGCTGTGTTGGAATGATTTCTAGATACTAGAAATTAAACTTGGTGTTCTGTGGACTTGCTTTCTGTTGGTACAGAAATACTGTCAACCATGGGAAATGTTGCTTCCCAGTAACAACTGTATTAAAAATATTTGCATTTATTTTAAACCACAAACTAATCTGAAATGGTTTTGTTAACTAAGCCTTGTTGCGGATGGTCAGACGCCTTTACAAGGTATTTAGCAGTTTATTTAAAAGTGGCATACACAGCGGAGCCAAACATTTTCAAGACCCACGTGAGCAACACAGAGATGGCACAGAGTGCTTCTGACGGAGCCCCGGCCCCTCGGCAGAGGCAATGCTATTGATTAGGCAGTGCTGGAAGGCATGGCAGTTGTGCGAGTCGTATATTTTGGTCCTATAGCTAAAAAGCAAGAGTCCAGTCTCGCTTTTCCCTGAGACATTTGCCGTTAGTGTTACTGAGTTGACTGCTGCTCCCATCCTCAGCGTCAGAAGTGGTGCGATGTCACGGAATGCTCGCCGTCAGTCGGAATGCTCGCTGTCAGTCGCAGTAGTTGTGGTGGTACCTCCACAGGAGACTCCAGCGCCCATCAGAAATGTTTGCCTTGTTTGCTCGCTCATTACCAGCCTCTTGCTTCTCCCAAGTAGTGCCAGAAGCGTTCAGTTCAAGTACACGTTGCTTAAAGCGCTTGATCTATTTTAATTACGTTGAGTGTTCTCATAGTAGTGAAATTTCCTCTAATACGTGCATGTGTGTGAGAGGAGGAATGCCCCCCGTCTCGCATTCTAATTTTGAAGGATATTATATTATACGTACAATGCATCAATATAGGAAGCTGTGAGGTAGCAGCAGATCTGGACGTTGAGTAATTTGAAAGCAGCAGCTTGCAGACAGTCCTTCCCTGAAGGAAATAGTACAGCATGTGCAGATGGCCGTGACCTATGTTGGAAGGAGTTTTTTTCTGTCCAGTAAAATCTGGTTAAATCCAGTGATGGAATAGGCGTCCGTATGGGGGCTGACATTTGCATAATGCAGGGGAGACTTCTTACAGTGAAACTTGATGGAGCCCTACAGGAAAAAAAGGTGGAGAGGTCAGTTGGTGGTTTTGCCAGACTTTGAGCTAATTTTGCTATTCAAACTAAGTTGTGCTAATTAGTGTCCAAGGAACTAGAGAATATTAGTAAGGATTGAGGAAGACCTCAAAGGAGTCTTCGTACAAATGGATTTGAGGGAAATTATTACTACGAAGAGTATTAATACTGTAATTTGAACTGAAATAAGCTTAAACTCTCAAGATTTGAGTATTTAGTCATTACTCAACTTGGTACTGCTTCTTCCTACTTGTAGTAGCTGTGACCAGGCACAGGCTACGTTCTTGCATGCATAATTTTGTGCAACCTCAAAAATGTGCCAACAGAAAACCCAAGCATGGGCACAAGGTGATGAGTAACCGGAGTGTAATTTCTGAGAGAAGCCAGTGTGGGTTCAGGCTTGTTTGTAGTAAATGGTATCCAAGGCTATTCTGCACGTGCGTAGGAGATGGACTACTTGAGGGTTGCTCCCTCCTTTCTGACCTGAAAATCCTCTGTGCAGTTGTCCGCACAGTCAATACAGCATTACTGGGATGATATTGGGAGACCCAGTGGCTTTTCCCCAAGGGGATGCTTTTTCACGTGTTCACTTGTGCAACTTGAATCCCCTTAGCAGAAAAAAACGCACAGTATGTAATAGCAGAGCCCATGCTGGAATCCTCTGCTCTCCTGAAGCAGAGCCTCGATCAGTTTGTTCCTATGATGGAGATTAACAAGAGTTTCCATGCCTAGTTGAAAGTCTCCACTCAGCCCCCTGTCTTACTTGACCTATTGATGTCCAAGTCATCCCTGCATATCTAAACCAGTGGAAAAAGAGAGACTGTAGCTTGAGAGCTGACTTCATGGTTGCTCTGCTCTGTAGCGGAGTTCAGGTTCCTGAACTCACAGCAGCTTAACTGTGCTGCTGACTCGAGCGCGTAGGTTTGTTACCTGTGGGAGAGCTCTAACGGAGGTGATGCCACAGCCAAAGGAACAGCTTTCCACCTTGTAGCAGTCGCTCTCCTGAAGTACTCGGAGGCATGCCAGCAGGGACAGGTCTCGCCGAAGTCCCGTTACAGTAACGGGCGCAGCAGCCAGGACAAGGCCAAGAGGCCAGAACTGAATTATTGCGTGCAGAGGCCAAGTTGTTTCCAAAGAGTGAGGTGGTTTGGCCGAGATCACCGTAGCTCCAGGAACTGAGAAAAACGCCTTTTCTTCATCCTCGTCCAATTCTGCTGCTGCTAGTGCAGCCATTTTTGCCTGACGAAGAGATGCAGAACAATCTTCCTGAAAAACAGTCTCAAACGCCTCAAACAAAATTTCAAACTGCAAAACTAAGAATCTAAAAAAGAGGCATCTTAAAGGACAGGACACCCTCTGGGACACTTCCCCGTTTTATGAAGATAAGGAATGAGTTCATTCTGCAGTCTCGACGCCGCCACCCTGCAGAAGCAGGGGGTACTGTACAAGACTGGCATCCATCAGCTCTTCAGCTTGAGAAAGAAGAGTCTTCTGGAGAATTGACAGTATTGGGTTTGTACAGTTACCTGACAGAGGTATATTCTTTCCCAAACACTAAAAAGCCTCAGTCGCTCAGTTTCAGTGCTTTCCTGTACCCATGTACTTACTTTCCATTTCCTCCAGCCGTGCTTGATAACATTGGCAGCCCTGCGCATCCTTCGGAAGCGATTCTTGGCTAACCAGGAACGAATAGCTGAAGATTTAATGAAAAGAAATCTGAATACAAAGAAGCTCAGAAGCTCTTGCACACAATGTAAGGGAGATGGCACCGAAGCCTTCTCCGTGTTCAATCAGATAACCACTCCTGCCACTTTAAACATCCAGTGTAACTGGAAATGTTACTGGTTGTGTTCAGCCACACCCTGATTAGATTACCTGCTTGGATGAGGGTTGCAGACCATCTCTCCTTCGCTAGCTTCTTCTGTTTAAATCTTCTCCAGCAACACTGAATGCAAAATGCTTTCTCATTTAACACCTCTGCTCTTCTGGCTTCTAGTTGCTCCAGCTGCATTGGGGATATGAGTTTATAGTTAATACTGGGGGACAGAGTTGCGTTCCCAACGCTTCCCTCTTCTACAGTCTTTGGTGTTTGTCAGAAAACCATGTGCACGGTTCAGTGTCCTAAGGCTGCTGGATTAGGTTTTAGAAGCGAGAGCACTTCATTTGTGCTTATTAGATAATGCGTAAAATGAAAACGTCAGTATCTGAGGGGGAAAAGAGTGTTGGGGATGGGGGGGAATTGGATGCTCCCAAAGTCAGAGTGTCAGCTGGCTTAAAACCAGCTCCACTGAAGGGGGTTCTGTTACGGCTGCATCCTCCCGTATGCGAGCTCTGCAAAAGCGCCTTCGTCTCCATCTCTTTCACAGAGAAGCTGCCTAGGCCTGTCAGCGTAGCCAAGTCTGTCAGCTGAAGCTAAGGAAAGCTGTAATCTTTACTGGAACTGGGAGGATACTGACAGCGCTAGACACAAGTGCAGTTCCGTGTCCATTAGCAAGAAGGACGCCATTAAACACAGTGATTCTGATAGTTGCATTCTGATGGATGTTTGATTTCGTTTAATAAGTTGAAAGAAAATTGCCAAATTCTGGTCATGCTGGCATTAGCAGGGGTTATTGCCTAAACCGCGGTGGTAACCTGTGCCAGAATCCCCATTAAGCAAGTACGCTCCAGAACTGTTAGCCAAGGAAACAGCACTCTTACCACAGAATTGGCCATAAATACTTTGGTTTTGCCGCAGAACACTGAAGTGTTTTCTGCTCTGTTCCCCGTTTGCTCAGCAGTAGTTTGTCCCGTAACAACATTCTGAAGGATCTCAAAAACGACAGAACGTGACGCTTTTTCATCATCCACCACTGGAATCTCGCCTGCAAATGAAGCGTCGAAGAGAAGGTATCACAGAACTTGGAAATCAGGCCCAAGTAATTGTCTGTACACCGAGATTTCTTGGCCATTTAGCGGGGATGCACATACCACAAGGGGGGAGGAGGTGATGGCTGAGACATCACTAGGTCTTAGCTGTGTTTAAGGGAAAAATGTGACAGCATAGACTTCACCATGTGCTAGCAGCTAGAAAACCAGCGTGGTGCGTTTTAACTAGGATGCAGTTTGGGTGCTGGCTTATCACCTCTGTTATCACCCATCCGTAGGTAACAAATGTAATTTGGGGTAGACCTAGGCAATGGAACAGGCATACGGAGGGCTTGGCTGTTCCCACATTGTTTAAAGCGTCCTACATGGAAACATTAGAAAGCAACAGCAATGCAATCAGGAGTAGATTGGAGCAGCTCAGTCCTAAGAAAATCTGGTGAACCCAAAACCCAAAGCTGTTGGGAACAAAGAACCAAAAGCCAGGAATCAGACTTGTAGCCTTAATGTACTGAGGGATGCAGGAACAGAAAACAAATTCTACGCAACTCCACAGCTTTCACAGGGCATCAGAAGCAGCTACAGGGACATGTACTAAGCAGGAGTTTATTGCAGCAATAAGAGGTTATTAAAACCATTTCTGGGACACAGTACACAATTTTTTTTACACTATGAGACAAACTGGTTAGCCAGATTAATCTATTTGGAAATAGAGGTAGACTTAATTCAGACCTGTCCTTGAAAGAGAGTGTGGTGTTCAAGGCAATGCTGCATGAATTTCTGCATGCCCAGTGCCGGAACTTGATGGTCTTTGTATCTTTCCATCCTGGATACTGTTTGCTTTTCTGCTATAAATATTTCTAAGGAGATGAGAGCATTTTAAGGTACTGAAAACAAACATAAGCAATTCTTGCTTACAGGAAGACATCTGGTGACTATGATGGTGTTCATAGGGCTGGGCTGATAAGGGAACCAAAAGCTTATCCCCGTGTTTAGGAAATTGTTTTGCTTTGTTTGCAGCTTATTGCCCACTGCAGATAAAAAGGACCAGTAACCTATCACAACGAGGCATTTCAGCTAATGGGCTTGTAATTGAGGGAGAAGGATATGGTGTGTAAGTAATGTCCCAGCCTGTATTTCATTACTTCATTCCACTTCCGCAAGGTGAACAGATCTCCAGCCATTTTACTTATCTGACATAGGCTGGTACTTACTGGTCCTGCGTCCCACATCTACTGGTTACTTGAACAGACCCAGTGGGTGAAGACTGGGATTAATCTGGGAGAGAGGAGGGGCTTGCAGTAACTTCCAATATTAAATGTAACCACCTGACGAGCTCCTTCTGTCAGGGGTTCGCACCAAAGCTGTTACCTTGTAGATTGGATCGTGTTTTTTAAAGTCCATCCTCGCTCTTGCTTAGAAAAAAGAATCTCATACAGAAGTTTGCAAAAGGTAGAAGCAGCAGCAGAATCCAGGTAAGCTAGAAGGTCAGTGTGTTCAGCAAGAAAACAAGGTGGGGAAAAAAAAAGGAAGGAAGGAGAAGGAATGTAAGCAAAAAGATAAATGGTTTTCAAGTCGACTCAAGAACCAACTCTAAATCAAATTATATTGGGGGGGGGGAACCCCAAACACCATCGTAACTGTAATTGTTCTACCCAAGAGGAACACAGAAAAGCAGCAATCAGATGACAGATTTGCAGACTTTTAAAAAGAGCCTGCTGTAAACGTTAGGGAAATTAGAAACTCGAGTCGGTGATAGATTAGAAAAATATTTTGAGAATAGTGGTGTCCCTAGTGCTGAATACAGTAACTGCGTCTGATCTGCACGATACCAGATCGGTGCAGTGATAGTTTTACTTGATAGCAGAGGAATTATCTAGAGAAACGTACCTGTTTTCTCGGCAGTATGATAGTTGCTTTTATCACACACTCTGTTCTTACTGGACCCGCATGATTTTCTCAGTATTTTGTAGCGCTCGGTGAAACTCTGGAAAGGGATCCTGACAGACAAACGTACAGTTAATTCTCGGCAAGTATCATTTACTATATGGTAAATAACCGTTCCTTTTAGGGGGAAAAAAATTGTGGAATGGCCTCAAAGATCCAGTACGTAGAACGCAAATAGACTGATGCCGATGTAGTCACCAACAGGCAAGAAAGTGCAGACTTCCTGAAGAAATCCAGGAGACTGCCTGTTGCCCAGTAACAGCCAGGGACCTTTGCCTGTAACAAAGACCGGGCAGGAATTGTGCTTGTTTGTGATAACGGTGAGCTTCACCCCATCAATGCTGAGCTGCCAAAAAACGTGACTAGCTCAGGCCTCGTTCCCTCCATCCTCTGAAGGTGGTCAAGAAAGCCCGGCAGGGTGATGGCTGTGATGAGATGCCCAACTTCAAGATGACTCCACTTAGATGTATGCCATTTATAATTGTAATAATTATAATTTTAATTGCTGAAAATGCTACTGTGAAGCCACAGTCAATTAGAAAGCTTTAGTACCTGACAGTCCACATCAAAACATCTGTTGTTAACCGTTGGACTTGATGATCTTAAAGGTCTTTTCCAACCTAAACGATTCTGTGATTCTCAGACTGGAAAGGTACAGTGAGCTCTCAGACCAAGGCTGTGTTACAGGCACGTCTGGACTTCGTTAGTATTTGGTATACTTCTAAGAACCCCATTGTCCTGAATGCCAGCTGTACTAGCACTGCTGCTTGTGCTGTTGCTGTGCTTTTGGACTTGCTGAACGAGCAGAGTTTCGTTACCCAAAACACAGAACAGCAGTCCAGATTGGTGGCAGGTATTTTTGTCTCTAAAACATGGAAGAAAGGTGCTCAAGTAAGTTTAAAAGCAAGCAGTGAGCAGAACTCCTCAGGTAGCTTTGAAAGAATCAGTAGTTCTCTGGTCTGAAAGAGACTGCAAAATACTTGGATTTCCTGCTTATAAGCTCTTCTGAATAACTAATATGCCACTAATTGCTACAGAAATGGATTAATGGAAGACATTGCTCAAGAAGTTCAGACTTACCTAATGGGGAAGCCCGCTGCACTGATGGTGACAGCTTCGACTATTCCACACGCCTGAAGCTGGCTGAGAACCTGAGGCAGAGATGGAGATGGTTTAGGTAACCCTTCTCTTTGTGGACGCTGCTGCTGCTGCTAAGGTCTGCCCAGGGTGTGCTCGACCCAAAGCACAGGCAGCTCAGCTCAGCAACCACGCCAGAGCTTGCCCTGGTGTGCACCACCACGCCGACAGCTGGGGAACGCGTGGAGAGGGCGGAGAAGGGGATTAGGCAGCCACCGAGCTACTGCTTTGAGTAACTCCCAGAGTTAGGGTGAAGGCAGCGCTAACACAGAGGGACAGTCCTCGCGTGCCCTCTCTTGTGGTATCCACACCCCCTGCACTCACCGAATGCAGCAGAATATGAAAAGCCAGTGCTGGTATTTTAATACTACTTGCATGCGATCAGCAAATTCTTGGAGTGTTTAAAATTAACGCAGCGCTACTCCAGCTGCTTGTTTTTACGTAAGATGAGGTTCTCTGGTTACAGCTTTAGCGTCTGCTGCTTTGCTCCCAAAGACGTGCCGGTCAGCTGATCTCATCTAACTTGTCCTAGACTCCAGGAGCAAGCAAAGCTTTGTTGTGGGTGTTCACCATGAAGGTATCTGTGTGACCAGGACTGCTGAGCAGTCAGATCACCATTATCTGGTTTGAGGGCTGGGATGGTAGCACCCCAAATGACCCAGGAGTGCTCTGGTAAGAGATCATCTCATACAGCAACAAGTAAGTTGCATCTGGAAGAGCTGCTGTGCTTGCTAGCTCCGTTTTAGACAAGCATCATCAGTGATTCTGAGAGGATGGTTATCTTGGAAGCTCCGCAGGAGAAAAAGCTGTTTCAAAATGTGCTGTGAAAAGAGCTTTGCTAGTGACTCAAGATGACGAGAGACCCAATGCAAAGCCCCGCACAATGTCTCTAGGAAGCTTCTCCTTGACTCAGTGAGGAAAGGCTTTTGAAAAGTTACCTCTTCTCTTTTAAAAGTCATTGCCTTGCAGTCAGCGTTAGGCTTGATGCATCGGATGTAATGCGGTGTGGTGCTATTCAAAATCTGCATGAGATGTTCAAGTGAACCCTGCAGAAAACAAAACCAGGTTTAATTAGGGACTCCTCCTCCACAGGTGGTTTAGCTGATCAGCGGTCTTCTACAAAAACAGTGAAGCCCTGTTTTGCAAGGATGGCTTTGCAGACTCAGTATTAGCAGAGCTCTCCTGTAAGGACAACTTAAGCAAAAAATCTGTTCTATGGATGCTTTTATAAAATCGTTGATGGTAAATTCGCAAAGTTTCCAAAACTACATCAGGGCCACCAGCTGAAGCTAACGCCGCAAGAGGAACAGGTAGGAAGAAGATGCCCAACTGTTAAAGGAGAAAAGGTAAAATCGGAGTGAGTTAAAACCCAGAGAATCTCAGGAGTCTGGAGCTGTTTCTGTTTTACAGCTGGTTTTTTTTAACAACATTTACTGATCCTGGTGCAACGATACTGGTTTCTCATCCAGTTATGAAGACAGCAGTAGAAAACAGAAACTTGAATAGGACGTACCTTGAACTTTGACACCACTGTAACAACAGCTGCTCTGTTCTGGGGTTTGATGTTATTTTGGTTCCCTTCCGTCACAGGAAATAATTTTTGAAGCAAAGGGTCCTTAGAATTCTGCAAAACGTGGACCAGCTCTGGTGGAATGGGGTCCTGCAAACATAAACATAAGTATTTGGACTTAAGCAAAAACCTGCCACCTTTGAAAATGACTAAAAATTCCACGTGTGTAGATGGAATAGTATTTCTGATGCCACCTTTGATTTCAGGACAGCTGTAGTTTCAGATCTGACTCCACGCATTCATTCACAGACTCAGGAACAGAAAACGGCATCTGGCTGAACATTTAGCAAGTCTAGTCAACTGCACGACTGCTCCTAATGTTGTTGTTATACAACTTAAGTGAGCTAGAAGTCTCAGGACTAGTTTAATCCCCGTAGGACAGTCTGCAGCAGGTATTAGAAAGTCTATTGGACAGTCTTCCTTTTAATTAAGAGATGGTACTTTATTGCATCACCTGATACCACTTGCCATAATTGCTGGTGATGTCGGAAGTGACAAGGCACCCTCATTTCTGCAGACTGTTTCACTTATTCCTGATGGAACAGCGAGGCCAAAACTTGAGTTTCCTGGTACTTTCAGAACTTCCAGTAGTTGAGTCCATGCTCTTGTTTCTCATAAACTTATCTGATTTTGGGAAATGAAGCGCTATATTTATGGCTACAGAAATGCCCTGATGCCATTAACGCTTCTGCATTGTCTCAGGCATGGAAGAACCCTGGACTGGTGACACACGGTCCGCTTAATCCTCAGCTGAAAGGTCTGCTAACAAAGCGTTTGCCTGCGCCAGCGATGATTCACTGAAAATCAGACCAAGAACATTACCCAGCTTTACATGGCCTGAAGGATTTATTTGGAGCAAGGTAGGTATAACCAGTAAGCGTTGCTGAATATACTTGTTAGTGGTGTTTTGATTTAAATCGCTTTTGGTCTTTAAGATTTTTTGGTTTGGTTTGGTTCTTTTAAAGAGCTCTTTCTGAAAACACCTACCTTGTTTTTCTCTACCATTGTTGCCAGCTGATAGCAGACTTTGCCAGCATAATGTGAAATAATAAAGTTAGGCTTCTTACTAAACTTGTTTCGACTTAAACATTGATTATCAGACAAGGCTTTTTCAATCCGAGTTTGAAATAGGTCAGTGTTGGAGGATCTATTCAGACGGCACTCCTGCAATGCAAACGAGACAAAATCGCAGCTAAGACACTTTACATTAAAATCATAGCCATTTTACTTATAGAGTTGCTTTGAGTACACAAGCCTGGAAAGACTGGGGGAGGGGGAGGGAAATGTAATTGAGGCTTCGTATTTGAATCAGAACATCCAGGATCAGAGGAAAAAAGGCAACTCAGAATAGGAAGAAGGAGTGTCATGACTGTTACGAAAAATAAGCTCTGTAGAAATTGTGTATCTGGCAAGTTTCCTACTGACTTCGTGTTCATGTTTGCTTTGGTGGTGTGGGAAGGAGGCAGGCAACCAGGCCAAAAGCATTAGGGGCTTAGATCCCCACTTACCTCATTCAGCAAAGAAAAAATGCTGAGAGGATTGCCCTCTATCAGATCAAGGCAGTTCTGGTTATCCTGGTAGTTTATGAAAGACCACTGCAGGCCTTCAGCTGCATATTCTTCCTGAAGGCAGAGAGAGAAACCGGTTACTCTGCAGCAGAGGGCACTAGAGCTCCAATAACTGTATGCCTTCTGGCAGTTTGCTGCAGTTATTGTTTAACAAGTTAATCCCAGGCTCAGCCTGCTCATCCAAAGCTCAGCTCATGTTCAGTGGCAATCTTGAGGGGAAAAAAACCACACAAATGAGGATATTCTACCCCAGGTAGCTTTAAAGTATGTAGCAGCAGCTCCTTCTGGAACAATTTGTTTTAAGTATTTGAGAACCTCACAAATTTATCAGAGAGAGCTGCAAGACTGCTTTACAGGGTAAACAGAGGCTACGGTCGCGCTAAGCCTCTCCTGGCTGTACTGAATTTTGCCCTGAAGGGTAAGGAACACACAGAACTCCTTCCTTAGATTGGGACATAGCCCTAAACCAACCATTGTGTGCCAGACTTTACTGACTGGGCTCCATTTAAAACAAAGCCTGATGCAAAAGGAAGCGGAGCGAGATACTGGTTGAAATAATTTGTACAATACTTATGCTGAATTACAGAACAAACTGTCAGGAGTGTTTAACAGGCACAAGCTCTGGCCAGTTATTTGAAAAGTCTCCTGCCAAAAGCTTGCTCAGCACAGTCACTAATGGTGTTTAAGTGGTTTGGGACACAGCCAGATCAAGAGAGGTAAGAGGGCAGGCAGTAATTGGGAGGGGTACTATAAACAGAGGTCATGAATCCATTTCAAGGCAAGTAATTGTGTGCTTGAACTTGGCTTCCGTTTTCACTGACCATTAACCCCTGGCACACTGACGAGGGCAGGCATGAAAAAAAATTGCTGGGTGTACGAAAGCACGAATTATAGTCTAAGAAACACTTATCTCCTGCATAAACTGATAAAACTATGCCGTGAGACAGAAAGTACCATCACGTTGGTGCCATAAAGAAAATAATTTCCCAGGTTCCAGTTAATGGAAAGAGCATTGCGGTAACGTATGTGCCATGTGGATGAATTCGGCAAGGACTGAAGCACATCTACTAGAGTAGCAGCCCAGGCCTGGCGGGGACGCTGCAGCTTTCAGAGCACTCAGGTGAGAACTGGAATTAGCAGTGTGTGACCAGTCAGGCAAGCGACCGCAGTGTATTTAGCACGGTGCAAATACCTTCTCCACTGTGAAACAACACAACTCGTGTACATCCTCGTTCAAAAAAATGAAATGTGTGCGGTGTGTTTTGGCCTTTAAAGGTACCAGCGTGACAACTGGGTTTATGAAGCTGCTCTCCTGCGGCTGAAGGCCTCCACCAGGTACCACGTGCTATTGATGTTCGGGTTACAAGGTTCTGTTGGGCCCTCTGCCTTCGCACTACGGTCTAAGGTCTAGAAGCTCTGGACCCATTTAGGTACTTTATGCTTGGTGAAAGGAATTAATGTAGTTATAAGCAGCAGCTTCCAAGAGAATATAAATTTAGGCTACACTTAACCTCAAAAACTGAGTTTTAAGCATTCAGCTCTCTGAGGGAATGCAAACAGTCTAACAGAGCCAACGGAGCTGTATAAGAGGGAACAGATTTCCAGTACCCTAGGAGAGAAAGCTGTCTCATTCCACCAGCTGCCCCACACTCTCCTCTTTAAAAAAGCAATTGTTACTCACATCCTACTGATTTCTGTGGCATTACTTACTTGACTGATGGTTGCAATCTGACCAGAAACACAGAAATACAAGTAAAGGGACAAAAGATGCTGGTTTAAAATTCAATGTTTGATATTTGATCTTAGCGAGGTATTACCTGTTGTGCCTTCAGATAGTGTGCTACAAAGTGCTGCTGCAGTTTCTCGTTGGCGTAGTTAATACAAAGCTGTTCCAAGTTGTTTTCAGGGAAGGCTTCAAAACCGTAAACATCCAACAAACCTAGAAGGAATATGGGAAGACAGTGCGCTTTGGCCTAGGAGTAGCTTGAAGGGCTTAAGCTGACTCAGTTAAACCAGGGTTGAATAGCCATACCTATGAAGCTGGTCCACACTGCTGGATCTGCATAGATGCTTTCATTTATGACCAAAACGAGCCATTCAAACAACCTGCAGACAGCAACAACTGGATTAGTTTGAAAGCGTTTGCTCACAACAGTCAGAGTAGTGTTCTTTTACTGCTGTTTATACCAGTATTGCATGGGAGAAACAAAAAATTGTGACATGCTGCCTGCTGACATGAAACAGCAGTTCTGTGAAGATCTCTCTCTCAGATACCGCAGCTATGCCACTATCTACGGCTGAATCAAGGGTGTGTTGAGCGGGGAAGGGAGGGTTACGCTGTTATTGAGTCCAAGCAGAAAGCCAGGGAGAAGTAAATCTCTCTGGCCTCCCTATTCCCTCGTAAAAGTTAGATGGATCAGCCCAGCAGCCTGGCCTACGTGTCCTTACTTAGCGTAAATCACTTTGGCGAGGCAGTCCCTCCTAGTCTCACATTCGGCTCTGGAGCATGGCTTCTTGAAGACTTGTTGTTGTTTTCCAGCAGTTATTGTTCGAATTCTTAATGATTCCAGTAGTTCCTCAACAGGTATCTTCAGCAAATCTCCAGCAGTCTTCGCAAAATCTTGTTCAAGAGAAAAAAAAAAACATTGCAAGGTTATCTGGAGTGTCAAAGGAATGCAGCCCCTTTAAAGTTATGGAAGGTCTAGGAATAGTATACAATAAGGACACTTCTGTGAACTCACCAACTTAAATGTGGATTTTGGATCTTTTTACCCAAACCTGGGAGAAAGTTTTGCAAGACCAGACTCCTATTTGGATGTACAGTACCCCTAGAATTTTAGGTACTCTATTTAAAATGAAACAACAATACAAAAGAAGTCTGAGGTTTGCCACACTGAAGCAGGCATTTTGGAGAGCACTCGCTAGGTATGTGTCTGTTACTTTTTCACCTTTTTTGAGCAGAGATGTCTAAATCCAGATAGACAAACAGTCATGACCAGAAAAAAACAGGGATTTTGGGGGTAGTAAGGAAATGTAGAAGAATGAGTATTTACTAACGAAGCATTTAAGATCTTGCTAACTTGAGCTGTAGGCAAAACTATTTGAGTATTAATTAGTGTGAATTCAGAGCATGTGAAATGGTAGTAGGAAACTTCACTATTCAGGACAGCGTTTTAGCTGTGAAAGAAAACTAGATCCACAGCCCTCCTGAAGACATGCAGGATAGCCTGTGTTCTATGCTGCAGTTTAACAGATTTGCCGTTACTAAGTTTTAGTCTTTATGATGAAAACTTCAAAGCTGTAATTTTAAAAGCCCTGCTCTCCACTCCGGGTCAGATTTCTGGAAGTCTCGTGATGTCAGTGTAAGATTACAATCAAGAGTAACAGTTCTGCCCATAATCCTTTCTGAAATGACTGTCTAATGGTGCAGTTGCCTTGACCTGTAATGGAAGGATATTATCTCGCAGAGCAGGGGAGCATTAGGTTTTTGTTTGTTCAGTACTTTGAAACTGTGAAGTACCGAACAAAAACGCACTTAAATTTTGGGTTGCCCATGATCTTGATGGTCTCCTCTCAAGCAGAAGAGCGTAGTAATCCTTTCCATGAGGCATCTGCACTGAGATAACAAGACCCTCTGGAGCATGGCATGCTTGTTGTCTCACCTTTGGTTTTGTCTTCTAGTTCACAAGGCTGAGATTCATCCACTGGATTAGAGAATTGAACGTTCCCAAGATGAAGAAGGCCTGACAATACCTGAAATATAATCAATCACTGAGTTTTCCAAAACAGAGCTCCCCTCCAAGGCAGTGTCCTCTTAGCCTTCCCTTAGCCCTATGAACAGAACAAGTCAAAACATTTCTGCACCAAAAAAAAGCAAATAGACTCCAAGCTTCTATGTTAATCCCTAATGCTGCAATTACTGAAGGAAAACTCAATTTCACAGGTACAGGCTTTTAGTTAACATCTAATATTTGGCTATGCAACCTAATGCGTAGCTGCAGGCCCTCCAGTCAGGAGTACCAAACAACCCATGCTCTGTACATTGATACAGATTTACTTCTGCAGGAGTCCCACACTAAAAAGACATTCCAAACATCATCGGCGGCCTCGTGGTGACCATGCTTTGTACCTGACCTTGAAAATATTGTTCTGCGTGGAGCGGTCAATGCCCAAGTGAAACATTGCATCTCTGGTCACCTCGAAGCAGTCCTCTGAAAAGCCAGACAAGTGCCATTTAAAAGAAAGCCATGCACACAAACACCGGCAAGCAGAACACTCTACACCATGTCCAGTTTAGCTGGAATTGTCAACGGAGATCAAGGAAGCCAGATGCTCTCTTGGCAAGTCCCAAAGTACAAGCTGGAGAACCAAGTCATTGACTTCATACTGGCTCTGTGGGGCTCTGAAGTTAGGCAGCAGGTTGCTGAAGCACATCCAAAGACGAGACAGTTTCTAAACATAGCCACAGAGAGATGCAAATTTGCTAGGCCAGAAACCGCTGGTTTAAGCCAGGTGAAAACTCTTAATAGTGCAAACTGAAACTTAAAAAGAATCACATTAATGCAGGTGGCTTTGCAAAATGTCTGCTGTTGGCTGACCAATCGGGGTCATGGGATTTAATAGGACAGACACATTTTTGCCTGCCTGCCTTTAAAATCACAGCCATTATTAACGGACAGTCTGTGAAACTAATCTTTACCATCTAAGTTTCTTTCAGAATTTGGCAGCCAGCGGTAGTTGGCCCCCTCTGGAAGGTTCCATTCCAGCCTCTCCTCTGCAGTAGCACCTTTTGTGATCTGGAGACAGAAAACAAGGTAACGACTGAATTCTGCCTTTGGTATCTACAGCTCACAGACAATGAAGAATAACGTCCCAAGAGCATGATTTAATTTTGAAGCACGGCAGACAGGAAAACTGTTAAATATTACAAGTTGCCACTGTGCTAAATCTGGTGATTTCATCCCCACTGTTTGTCAGAAATATCTAGCAAAATGAACTGAAGGCAAACCTGATAAAAAATATGAAAGTTTCTTTCATTGGGGGCCTGGTAGGCAACTCTGGTCTTCTCCAAAAGGAAAGTCTGAATGGAAGCACTAGTCAGATGGTGGAATCTAGAGGGGGGGAAAAAAAGCAAAGATTTCAACAAAACAGAATCCACAGGTGTTGTGTTATTACGATACAAACTGACTATGAACGCTTTGCAGTTCACCTTCAGTTTTGTGCAAGCTTAATGTAATGTTTTATTCAGCGTTCTTAACTGCATATCTGTTTTTCCTTTGTTCTATTTAGAGGTCAGGGTAAGAGCTTGCAGGAAAAAAAAATTTAAAAAAAAAAAAAAATAATGTAAGCTGCCAGCAAACCAAAATACGTTCTAAAGACAGACAAAATACTCTATGGCAGACTTAAGGAATAGGCTTGTAAAGATTTAAAGGAACAAGACAATAGATAAGGTTTTACACAGTAATTATTACCTGTCTAACTGAAGCTGGATATATTTTCCAAAACGGCTACTGTTGTTATTCCGCAGGGTACATGCATTTCCTGTGAAATTGCCAGTGACAGATACAGAATAATCAGAGTGGTTTTACTCTTCCCCACGTAGGACATACAGATATCGCGGGTGATTTGTACATGGCTCCGGTATTTGAAGAGTTTGTCTTTTAAGGAGAGGACCAAGAGCTAGCTTAGACTTGTGTATTAGCAAAGACAATTCCCACAGTGGCCACTACTTCTTTTTGCTGTTAAAAAAGCCGCATTTACCGAATGCTTCCATGACAGGGTTGGAATCCAACACTCTCTTCTCTATCCTTTCCACAGTTTCATTGCCTTTTGGGGAGATAACTGAAGCAGCAACAGAAGCATAGAATTTCATAAGGCAGCGAGATGTCCAGGTCTGCAAGAGAAAGGCTTGACAACAGGTCTTTGTTTTTACCATGTTATTAGCTATGTCAGTTAGTGAAACAGTGCTAGCTTCCGAAAACACAGTATGCAGCTGGCAATGATGTTAGAGAGAGCCACTGCGTCAGGTTTATAGCTGTAGTTCGGTGGAAACTTTTTGTGCGTATGCTTGCATGCAACGGACACCCATTTAAATGCTACTGGAGTTGGAGTGCTTTGCTGAATGGCAGTCTTATCAAGATGTAACCATCTGGGAGCTCAGCTAGAATCTTAAGAATCTCAACTAGTATCTTAAGATGAACTGAATATAAATGGACTTTAAGTCATGAACACTCACCAAATAAATTTGTTCTCAGGCTTAAAAATATCCTCGTTATCTTGCTGAATAGGGATGGATGATTATAGGAGTGCCTAGAACAGGATCTGAACTCTCCCGCTTCTTCCAAGTCTCTACATAAGGTTTGCTGAGACCCACGCTAGCTCCCTAACAGACTAAGCTGAGACATTCACTCAGGTGCAATTCCTGTTGAATGATTCAAATCTAGCCCTCCCAGAAATTACCGATGCCACCTAAAGAGCAGCCGTATTTAGCAGAGTCTATCTGCAGCAATCCCTTCATGCTTTACGCATATTTCAAGAGACTCCTGCTAGAGCAGACTGGCTATGTGCTCTGTCAGAGGTTTTTTTCCTCCTCTTTGCTTGCTCACTGAAATACTATGCACTACAAATCACTAGCAACTCTCAAAAACTTAAGAGCAATGTCAGAAAAAAGTCTCCTTACCTTCCCAGCGCCACTTTCTCCACTAACAATTATAGACTGGTTTACGGGCTCTATCTGGCTTTGGACATTTCTGTAGGTTTGTTCAGCCACTGCAAAGATGTGAGGTTTTAAATCCTGGCAGTAAAAGAGAAT